CGCTGCACTGGAGCTGGGTCCCGCCGTGGCCCCAGGCCTTCCTGCAGCTGTAAGAGGAGAACTTCACAATATTTCAAGTAAGATAAAACAGCTGAAGGCTACATTCTCTCTCACCTGATTCATGGGGAGAGAATACACGACTTCATGTCCCATTCAGCTGTCTTCTTATACACCCAGTGTAAGAGTCTGAGGAGAGACAGGGCTGGAGACCAGGCTGAGCCATGCAAGGAGGATCTGGTTCATTGCCTGATCCTATTTAAACATTGTTTTCAACATTAAACTTTTGGTCCTGAGTAACTATGATCTGTGAACCACTATGGGAGGCTATAATTAAGGGCAGATTTAATTTATTTAAGCAGTTAGTACATACTGGAAATACAGCTTTTTTGCCTTTTTTTTTTAATTATTGTTTTCTGGTTTTGTTTCTGTGGGCTAAATTCATATGAGTGTTTAATCCAATGATTTAATGTTCTAATTTTTTTTTCTACTATCTGTTTAAACATAACACAGGTATCTCTGTGCTTTGTTTCCTCCCTTTAATTTTGTCTTGTCTCATCTGTTGCATGGAAAGAGTATGACAAGGATGAACTAACTGCATGTTGTAGGTTGTGTCTGTCAAAGAACTGTTGGTCAGTGTTACAAATTTACATACATATATGCAAAGAGTTTGTCTGCATTGTATAGTTTGTGTTTATTCTTATTTGTTGTATACACAGATTCAACATGATGAATAAAACATTTATATGAAGGCATACTGGAAACCAACAGAATAGTTTATGTAAGAAGTAGACTGTGCAAAGCATCATTTCACTGGCCACAGGATGGTGAAACTTCATGTAAATAGGTTGGCAAACTCAGTTCTCCCCCTTTACCATGCCAAAGAAAATTTCAGCTCCTTAATATAATACCTCTCTTGCTGTTCTCCAGGATGAGACTTCACCATTTTCTTCCCTCTAAAATTAATTTTGCTGTTAAGTGAAAGCTGTTTTCAACTGTCTGTTACTACTAAAGTACTGTATAGTAAACCTGATGGAATCAATTTGTATTTACAGACTGGGGTTTTTGTACTTACATGTGCAGCTGTCCGTGAATCTGCAGCGTTCCAGGTCTTTTGCATGCTTGCATTGTATTTTGTTCTTCTGGGTTTTCTCTAATCTCTGAGAGACTGTTCACCCTGAAATCTAACCTCATCTTGCCATTTTATATGTTAACACTGCACAAAGTCATTTGTCTTTCTTTGATCTGTATTTCATCTACAGTTCTATTTGGCAAAATCTGTCATTTGGCAAACACCTGCACAGTTTTAGAGATCCACTTTTGAAGAGATATGAACTACTTCAACAAAGCACCATTTTGCTGTACTTCAAAAATTTTGTAAATTCACAAGAATCCTTATGAGATTGCTCACATGATAGAGCCTATGGAAGGGTCTCTAGCTCCTTTTAAGTGCTTTGTAGTTCACATAACAGCTTTTGCTTAATTTTTCTGGGTTTTTTTAGCCATTCTCAATTGATTTTTTAATGTACTGTCGTTTTCATAAATGTCAGTTCTTAATAAACCCCTCCCAGGCCCTCCCCTTCACCAGATATAAAGTACAGCAATTCACTTTGACTATGGTTATGTACCTGAAACAATACTAAGAGCCCTGGCTTTACATACATGTATATGGGGAAACTTTTTGTCTTGGTTTAAAACTAGTTTAAGCAATGAGGTATGAAAGCAGCCAGTTTGGTCCATGCAGTAAAAGCATATCATGATGACCGATCTGTTTATTGCTATAAAGATTACATTATTCAGCTACATTCAAATGGGAATGGAAGCAAAATTAGACTACATAAGAAGGTTCTTTTTCTTTTAAATGGCCCTTTAGATAAATTCATATTTCATGCAATGCATTCTAAAATGTTTAATAACAGGGTTTGTTTTCTGTGATGACTAATGCAAATGCTATGACTTCTTTTTAAAGATGTAATAAATTTTTTTTGTTCAATTACTTAGTCACAGAAATATTCAACTTAGCTTCCTTCATCCCAGCATCTTTTAGCTGTATCATTTAGCTACAAAGTGAGATGTCATTCTGCAAAGAAGCAAGGACAATATATCAGAAAAGTGAGAGCAGGTACATGATCAAATGCATCTATGTGTTTCTAAGAAAGAATATAGCCAGTAGAAAAAAAAGGATCACAAGCAGGTTAATAAATTATAGAAGTAAATTAATCCACAGGTTTTTTATAGGTGATCTTACAGATATGTTATACACAATAGGTGTAATCCTGCAAGTCTATTATAGAAGCACTGGCACACTTCTGGATTGTGTTCTTTCTCACATAAGAAGAAAACAAGGCTGTAATATCTTTTTGTTTATAAGATTTATCAATCTAATCAGTAAAAAGACCCCTTTTATCCAATTTGGTTTTGCCTTTTGCCACAGGCCTGGAAGCAGGTTTTTACAGTCACTAGCAATGAAAAATCAAGCATTAAGTTTTACTTTCTTATGCCTCTTCTTGCATTTACAGTTTATGTATCTGGAATTCCCATCACAGGGAATGACATAAGGGAAAAAGATAAAAATTTAGTAGTACAACTATTATATTCAAATATGTGGAATAATAATCTTAGTCCTTCTGATTTCATTTTTCTAGAGAGGAAATGAGCCACAAAACAGATATGCTGGGTGTCACATCACCAGTTACCTCAGCAATAAGAGCAGGGGAAATATTTAAGCAACATTATAGGAAACAAAAGAAAAATTGGAAAATAATGTCTACATTCCATTCTTAGTAGTCTTAGTTAATACTTTAATGTTTATAGTAATAGCACCATTTTGTTTGATAATTGCATTTAAAGGAACCACGGAGAGTAGCTGTCTTAGATATTCTGACTTTTTTCCATATGTAAGTTAAAAACAACTGGGATAACCCTTTTTGAAATGCTATGGCTACATAATCCATCCAGTAGTCAAAAAGGTTGGAGCTGATTGGTATTAAAAATTCAAAGTAAAAATTACTTTATACTCTTGAAGTATATAAATTTAAAATTAAAGCAAGTGACAAAAATGCATCAAATACAACACTGGAACCACCTAAAGAATTGTTCTTTTATATATGAATGAGTACCTGAAATACCAGAGCTGATCTACAGTACATATAGATGTTTTGATGCTATGAAAACAAGTCAAAGGCATCTACTGACACCAGAACAGAGTTTTGATTATGTAGTATTTTCTTAATACAGTACTAAATATAAATGGAAGGAAAGCAAGGAGAACTTTGTATCCTTCATTGTTTACATTCTGATTCAGCAGAAGAATGTATATGCAAAAAACCAAGTGATTATGAGATGATTCAGGTCAGCGGTATTCATTATTCATAAATATAAATAAATGCAACAGTTTGTGCTCTCCAAACAGTAAGGTTGGCAAAATGCATATATGCTAAAACTTAAGAAAATATTCCGGTTGAGCTCCATGGAGTTTTAGGGTTTTAAGTATAAAATATCAATTACAGTTTGAAGATGAATTTTACTTTGAGAGCTCTTTATGCGTTATGAATACAGTTTAGAACTCTGCCTGATACTTTGGTTATCTGGCAAGAGAGTAGCTAGCAGCTTTGGGATGTATGTCTAGTTATTTATCTGCGCAGCTTATATATAAGTTGGATGTTTGGTAATGGTACTCCCTGAGAATATGGGCTTCACGAACTTCATTTTTAGAAAGAATAGAGGTTAAGAGGAAAAAAAAAAGTGGTAGTTAAAGAGCAAGCTATATGGGATGGGGGAATAATAAAGCAGTTAAATAAATTAATTTGAAACTTTGCATTCTATCCCATTTACCATTGTATTTTCCTATTTCTAAACTGTCCTTTCTAAAAGAAACGTAATTTCTAGAGTAATAATGGAAATACTTTTTTTTTTGTTAATACATAGTTTCATTATTTCTGAGTCATGCACCTCTTCAAAAATCAGGACCTTGGCACCTAAACTACAATGTTAAAGTTTGGTACCTAAAAGAAGTATTTTTGAGCCATTTAATCAATTTCTTGCTCAATCATGGTTTCACAAAATGTAAACACTTTTGAAACTAAAATGTATATTTCATTTTTTTTGCTCTAAAGAATTCAAGGGCTGCCAAATCTACATGTACAAAAAAATAAGAGACTCGTATGTAAATAAGTTAGGGAAGTCCCAATAGTTGTGCATCGTTCATAACTCAATGTGAATTTCACACTGAGCAGCATTTCACCATTGGAAAATAAAAATAAAATTTTTGTTCATACCACTGGTTTGTTTGTATTTACTGTATTGAAACTTTAATTACTTTGTTGACATTGTCCAAATATCTTTGGCTGAGACCAAGCTACTGCATAGCACAGATGATTTTTCAAGTCAGTTGACTTCAGGTTCCCCACTTCTATGAAAGCAGTTAAATTCAGTGAATTCCATGTGTGACAGGGCAATCTGTCTTGAACAGTAATTTCTAAGAGTAAAATCCTAAAATTACTAACATAAAAAATTGCAATTGCTTTACATGTAGGAGGCAGCTGTAGACACATAGAACGGTGCAAGAGAAGTACATGTGAGTTGCAGAATACATATGCAGAATAGGCAATCTTACTTTTATATTTTTATTAGTTTCACTCCATATGTTTCTATAGGTTATGTATTTTAAAGTATTGTAATATGTAGATGAGATAACCAACTTAGTGATATATCAACCACAGAAACTAAAAGTTCTCCTGTGGAAAAGGTTCCCATTCAAACATTTTGGGTCTTCAGTCTATGAGTGTCACATAATTGGACCTCACTTACACAACTGACCAAGTAAAAAATCATTAATATTTTTATAGGCTTCTTTACATTTTCTCTCAATTTATGAATTGGTTAATAATCAGGATTGTTGGGAAGAAAAAAACAGGCCAAATAATGTCTTTTTCAAATACCATAAAACAAATCAAACTAATTATTTGACAATATTCCACTAGTGCTACTCTTCTACAGATGAATTGTTGCATACTGACAAGGAGACATGACAACCAAGTAAATATTGTTAAAAAAGGGTCTTCTTATACCATTTCCTCAGGTTGCTCAAAGAAATAGTCATTACAGGTATAATATTGGTTCCACTGAATTTACAAAAAATCTGTGGAGAAGTTCCATAGGTCAGTATTTTATTACTTCACCCTCTAGAGCCTGGGCTGTTGTGCTCCCTTTTTTAGTTTTCTGATGCATTTCTTTAAGGAGGAGATCTTCAAATATGTTCTAAGGTATTTACAACCATGTATGTGTGTGTTCATGCATACCCACACCCAGATACTTCTGAAATTAAATGTCCTAGCAGCCTAAAGAAAAACAAACAAAAAATAACCTCCTCAATCTTTGACATCCTCCATTAAGGATATTCTCTCCCCAGCCAGATTTCACAAGCATTTCCATTCCATCCTTCCCAGCACTCACAGTTTCCACAGCTACAAACACCGTTACCTAGAATAGAATGAATAAAGGACAATTATAATAATTGAAATGTACTACATTAAAATGTGTTTTATGGGAAGTAAAAAGCTATGCTAAAGTAGATGTATTGTTCCTTTATTGTCCCGTTTTTCCTTTGGAAGGAAGCAATTACTGTACCATTGCATTAAGAAGCCACCCCACACCTATACTTATATGGCATTAATAGCATGTTCTCAATAATGCCATCAGCAGTATTGCAAATATTGAAACTGTGTATGGTGGAGTGTAATTGTGTACACCAGTGTTTGTACCCAGCTGGTGAGGCTAAGTGTTCACACTGTGCCTCCAGGTAGAAAGAAAAACAAGATTAACTATTATTCATAAAGAAAAAAGCCATTAAAAGCTATCAACAGATTACCAATTAAACCATGGCTTTGAGCATGAAAACTTTAAACTTAAAATCTCAGAAGTGCTATACAAATAAATCCTGTCTCAAACTCTCTATTAAGTGAAAAATGTCCTGGCCCTATTTTGCACCAGTGGAACAGTCGAGACCCATCTATTAATTTTATTTAAATACTTTCATGACCCTTGGATGCTCAGTTTGAGACCTCTATAACCTTTGTATCTATGTAAACTCCTCTTCCTTCTGACTTTATGAAGATCCATGATTGGGCATTAGAGCTACAGATAAGGCTCATGTTCCTGCTATACTGGGTAGTTGCCTCCAGAAAATGACCCTTGCTAACAGGGCTAGCTGGAAGACACAATTTACTAGTGTCAGCCTTCCCACTCTCACTCTAATAGGCTTCCAGAGCTCTTCCACATCTAATAATTGCTCAGCAAAGATTTTCTAAAATTAAGATTTGTAACAGGAAGCAGCCAGTGAGTTAATTTAGCAATTCCCATGCTACTTCTTGTCGCAAGGGTTTGTTGGCAGCCTGCCCATTTCTATCGACATCTGCCACCTGCGTATTCAGACAATATTAAGGTGAAGCTGCTTGAATCACTTACCATCACGTCATAAGAAAAGCTATCAGCTATTCCAGCCTCCCACCAACAACTGTCTGATTGCTAGGAAGCTCTCTTAACCCACACAACTTTGCCCCTAACCTGTAAAAATCTATTTTACTAACCCACCAGTGAATTTTGTCTGTGACTTAAATGCATTTCACACATGGAATGTCTAGTAAAAGAGCAAAGGCTAAGGAAACCATAATGATGATACTGTGTTCCTTGCCAAAAACCAATAACTTGTAGTCTATTGCAGAGAGAATTGTTGATAGATACCATAGCTGGCTTACTTATTTAAATTCATACTCAGGCTTTTAACTGTTGTTTTGAAACCTTAAGTTGATCATTGCACTGCATGAAGAAACAATTACAGCAGGTTTGAATAACCAGCAAATGTGCTTCATCCTTCAGTGGGGAAAGGAGAAGCTGGGCTTTGTCTAACATAATTCCCATCAACTCAGTTTGTTTCCTGAAGCAATTAAGTGTTAGCCTGTACTGCACCTGTGCAAATGAGACCATCATGTTTGTCACAGTCTCTGTCATCGCATTCACAGAAATCACCCGAAATGTACCATTCCTGGGGTGAACAGATGCACTTTCCACAGTGGCAGGAGCCTGAAATCACAAAAATTATTACTCACAGTCAAAGAGTATTGGCACATTCAGACTAGAAAATAACAACCCAAGTCACACATATGCACACATACGCACATGTGCATGTGCACAAAATTGCTGCCTAAGAGGCTGTTGCATAAAAGAAAATAATCAAGCTAAAAGCCTTTTGAATGAAAGGATTCTTTTGGCATGAGTTTGAGTATGATGGGATGTTACTACGAATAGCTTTGATCCTGCTATTTCAATTAATCAGGACGCACATTTTGAAGCTTTCTTTTGGTTTTAGAGACCTACAATCAGGGCTTCTCTCCCCAGTAACTTCTTTTTTTTTTTTTTTTTTATTTTTTGTACTAGCAAAGCTGAAATTGTCCCCAACCCATTGTTACTGAAGGCAGTACAATCACACCCAGGAAGAAAATAGTCCTCCTCATCTAAAGCTTTTAGGGGTAAGTTCACAAAAGACCAGCAGTGCCCAAGACTAACATCTATAGACCCCCAAAATCCTCACCACCACAAATGAAGCTATGAAACTTCTCCACCTCCTATGGACTTACTGAACATTTTCTCTAGGTCAGAAAGAGTTTGTCCACATAATGGCAATCGGCTCGTTCCTTCAGTGCGCCTTAACACCCCTTGTTGGGACAAGCTGCTTTCCTTCTCAAGGATGTCAGGCCACACCCTCACGGACAAAGCAGGGACTGTGTGGTCAAATTCAGGTGATGCCATAACCCATGGAGCACCAGAAACCTCCCTGAAGAGAAGACTCTGAGACATCCTTACTCTCAGGAGAAGGTTTGTGGCTCTGAATCGTGGACAGTGACAGGTGCCCCTGGACAATCATGTGTCAGGAAGCCTGAGAAGAGTGTGAGAGAGGCTTTTCTGCAACTAGAAATACCACAAGGAGATGGTAATTCTTCCTGAATGATTCCAGCATTTGGCTGAAAAGACTTGGCTTTTACAGATCTCATCTTCAGTGGTCTGGCCCTATGCAGATTTCAGACGTGTAAACACTGAAGTGGGGATCTTACTAACTGCTAAGCAAAAATCCTTTTGTGGACCTAGCCTTAAAAGGGGTAACAGCAGAAATCTATGTTAAAAAAAAATTTAAAAACTCAGATAAATTATAGCAAAGAATATGTGCAAAATGTTCAGGGGCTGAGTTAAAAAATCTCACCGAAGAAGCTGTTGACCTTTTACAAAAGATGCTTATAAATGAGTTAAATTCACTTGAAAATCCTAGCCTCCTGAAATATTTCCAGAATCATTCCATTAAAGAATCACCAATGTGTTGAATGCAGTATTACAGAAAAAATATATAGAAGGAAGCTTGTTTATGTCAGAATATAAGCTAAACAGAATTCATGGCTTACTCAACAGGGCCTGAGCCAAAGCCTATAAAACTTGCTTTTCCATCTTCCCACTTTTTTCAGTGACCTCTGAATAAAATCCATAGTAACAACCCTAATATACTTAAAGAAAAAAAGTTGCATCTGTTGATAGCAACCAATTTTCCATTGCTTTTCCCGTAAATACTGAAGCTTAATTCTTGAAATCTTCAGAATAGCCTCAGCAGAGTATCTAATTTGTAATTAAATATGTAATTTAATGCTTATTTAAAATTCACAAAAATTAACTCATTGCCTAATTTTAGGGAAATGCTTTAACTTGTAACATATGGAACATGTATGCCTCTTTAGGAAGAGCTAGTGATTAGAACATTTGAGGATGGAAGTATTTGATTAAGCATCTACTTTTTTCTGTGGGTTCTGAGTGCTGCTTACAGGGCCACTGGCATAGAAAATACTGACATTCCATACAAGGATCAAAAATGCTGTTGTATAAGGAGGCAGTGGAGGATAGCATATATATCACAGGGTTGCTCTATAAGAGGTACACTAAGATATACTTGAGGGTAATTTAACCAAATACCTCTGTTTATATAAACTGCAAGGTACTGACATCTGAAAACAATGAGGATTTTAGTGAAATTACAACAGTTTTTAAGAGTATTACACTGTAATAAGCCTGAAGTGATTCTGCATCAGCAAGCACTGATCCTGCTACTGAGGGATGCCCACAATGTTTAAAACTGTTTTGCAGAAGATACAGCAAATTTAACACCAAGTCAAGCAAGGAAGATAAGGCTCCAAAATGCAAAATCTGTTAGGGAAACAAATGTATCGAGTCTTTTCCCTGAACAGGGCATGCTGCTCTGGGAGGCTCCTCAGTTTAATTGAGTCTAATGAGTTGCAGGGTGTTTCCTGGGATCCCAGCCAGATCCTCTCGGATGGGATTTGGCTCATTACCTTGCCCACATCCTGCACCGTTACAGTCACCATGTACAGCCCTATCTTTACTGCCAGGGAGGCAGCAGCGTGGTGGGTGTTGCTGTTTTCCTTGGGAAGAGCTTTTGCTACAGGTGGCACAGTCAGCGAGCCAAGATTCTGAAAACAGCCTAGGAATGTGGATGCCCAACTTTGCTTATATTAGCAGAGTGCAATTTTCTGATAGTGTTCAGCAGTTATCTGCTGAGAACCAGGACTCTTCACAGTCTTTTAAAACCTATATACAGAAACTCAAGTTATCCTCAGTCCATTTTAGCACTTGCATATCATGGCTAGGTTTCCAACAAAAATGGAAAAACCATCATTAGTGCACAGGTTCAAAATTCCCTTTTATTTGACCAGTAATAATTTTTTTTTTCTCATTGTAATGAATCAGAAAGAAAAATTTGCCATTTTAGTTCCTGGATAATGCTTCACTGTCTATGAAAAGTGTTTTAAACTATGGCTATCCAGTAAGATGTGATTTCCAGATACATAACTTAGCATCAGGAATAGATTTGGGGGAAAAAAAAAAAAAGGAAAAAAAAGAAGAAAAATAGCATAGCAGCAAAATTTATAATAATATAATATATATAATTTATAATTAGACTGTCTTTGTCTGTGATCCCCATCGTGCTCAGAGAAGAGGCAGGAGATAGTAGCCTTCTTGGATGTTTACTGGCCACACACTACTGTAGATGTCTTATGGAGACGATTTCTCTAATGTGTGCTCAGGGGCCAAAGAAATTTAATCCCCAAAAGGAAAAAAGAAAAAAAAAAGGGGAAAAAAAATCCCACCACTCTTTCTGGGTATGGATTTAGGGTCACAGAATGGGTCAGTTTGGAAAGGACAACACTAGAGCACCTTTCAGGCTGCTACAGATTATCAAAGTGACCAGATCCCAAACCACACCCCAGCAGCATAGCCAGCAGAGGTTAAAAATCCTTGATATATCTGCAAATTCCTGATGAATTACCAACTCCCAAAGCTTCAAATAAATAGCACCCTTGCAACACATGTTCAAAGCTAATTGTTCTCACAGTAAGACCCACAGGCTAGAATAAACAGCTCTCAGCCATCCTTACAAAGAATAACAAATAGTATGAATATTTTAAAAAATCAATATAATTTTTCATGTTTATATATATACAGAATCTTACATAGCACATTTTATTGATAACAAGCATATTCCTTTACCTTCATGGTTTATATAAAAAAAAATCTCAGTAAGGCACACATTAAGAGAAAAAAGGTTAACCTCTGCAGTAAAACAGAGTAATTTCCATTTCTCATTTCTGTAACTCGTTCACTCTTACACATACACTAATTTAAAGATAGTCCCATCTGGAAAAAATAGAGAAACAGTGCAACTTTCTCATTTTTTATGACACTGCATCAACTGAGGGGGAAAAGCCCCAAAACAAAATTAAATGGTGCAATAGGGAGAATTCTGATAAGTGATAATACAGATAGATGAAGCCTGGGCTGGAAACCCCATTTAAATTTCCTCTGCACTAAAATAAAAGTTACCAAAGGGAAAACTGGAAATCTGCCTGATGTAGAGGGTTCCTAACTGGTTTTCCAGCTGGCAGATTTCTTTCCTGTCTATGCAAGGAACATACAAATATAGGAAATGACACACAGAGTCTGGATTGAGTGCATTTTAGCCTCCAACCAGTCTTTTTTTTTTTTGTCTATTCTCTTTCAGACATATTATATACAAAAATAGGCAATTTCCACTACAGGGGAGCTAAAAAGCCCTCTTTCCATTAATGCAATTTCCTAGCCTGAAAGACTGCAAGGTAAGAACCTCAGAGAATGATTTCAGATAATTATCAAGATTTTCTAAGTTTCGTTCTTCCCTGTGGCAATTTTTTTTAGAGATGAACTGAAGCTGATGCAACCAGATGAATGAAAATTAGTAAATGAGAAAGTTTGTAGGATTCATTTGAGGGGGTTGCAGTCATCTACATTTCCCTTGCAGCTGTTTTGGGGAGCAGAGGGATTAAGGGTACCAAATTGCTTTTAAACACTTTCCTCCACATGGTGATGTCCAACATATTATATTTGCCATCTTCCCCACTGGAGTGTTACTGTGGGTAATGCCCTTTTTCCCCAAAGTGGCAGGGCACTAACAGTTAGTTTATAATTTACAGCTGTTCCACACAGGCCATCAGCTAAATGCATCCAGGAAATTATATGCTACTAACAAATTGCATAGGAGAGCAACGCTGCTGAACGTGTATGGCTGGGGTGGGTGCCTGACAAAATGGATGCAAGTGCATTACAGAGCATCCTTTAACAACCTTTTAATAATGAGTGCCTTTGAAAGAGAGGGTTACTGAACAACAACCCCCTACCGTGCACATTAGTCTTCCAGAACGTGATTATTTTCCTCTGTCAGGCACTGACACAGGGTAGCTCAGCTGCCAGATCTTACCCTTCCCAGAGCACAATAGGCCATCCGCTGACTCGCAGAGACTTCTGCTCTCCTCCTCCGTCATGTTGCATTTCCTTGAGTGCTGGCACAACTTTCCAAACCACCCATCGTGGCAAATGCATCGGCCACATGAGCAGATACCATGGCCTGTAATGACACCAAGGTTGGTTATGAGCATGACGAGCAGAAACCTGTCACTGTGGTTGCAGAAATCTGTGACTGGTCACAGCATCAGACCTCTTCAGTATGAAGTGTGTGCTATGGGATAGAAAAACTGATGGGTGGACAGCACAGCTTCCCAGCAGGATGGCCTTCTCCAGTTCTCTCCTTCTTGTGTTAAAAAGGGTGCCCTAATAATGTGCAGAAAACAAGTGAGGGACAGGTCAAAGAAACCCTAGAACTTGGGTGAGAAATAGGTACTAGAAGCCATAATTCATGCTTTAAAGAAGGGAGGGGAAAGATAAAATAGAATTTTAAAAAAAACCTATTTGTAAAAACATTAATAAAAAATTGAAAATATGTTGAATAATAAACTGAGTAGAAAATTTGGCCAGCAAGAAGGGAAAAGTGCCAACAAATATAGACAAGAATAAAGGAATGGAGAACAGGAATAAAAGAAGAGATGTCTCCCAGACAGAATTACATTTTTCAGCTTTGAATATTCTGCTTCAGAGACAATAATTCCTTAGCTAATTAGTTACCAGGGAAGCAAACACATACCAGTGATTTTTGTCCTATCCTATCTTCTATGTAGGACAAGGGAGTAGAAATGAAGGGACTGAGATAATTTGGGAGCATGGACTGGGAAGAAGGGAACAAGAAGTAGGAGTATCTGGGAAAGCATGGAACTGTAGGGAAGCAAACCAGCAATTTAGTTTTGCTGATTAGTGGATTTCTCATGAGCTTCCAGTGCATTTTTTTTTTGTAAACTGAGAGGCAACACTCAGTAGAAGGTAGAGGCCAGAGGAGAGACAAACCGGTAGTTTGCTGAAAGTGAAATTCATTCAAGTTTACTGATAGTGAAATACTTTACAAATTTTAATTACAAAAATTACTGGGAGTTCCAAAGTCTTGGATATGTCATTTCCAGTATCTAAAAATTCAAAATAATTTTTGTATCCCAAGCTCTTTATTGATCCTTGAGGTGTTTTTTATCATATTACATTATTGATGTCTATTATATTTTGATCATATTTATCATATTAAAGGCTCAGTTAACGACTACACAGACTTATTATCATAGCATTTTCACCCACTTCTAAAAATTAATAACTAGCAATGATAAAAGCTTGATGCTACTTGAACTTTTGTGTCAGACTGGGAAACAAGAACTATATGACAACCCAAAATATAAGAGGTAGAAAACAAGCATACATACTTTCCCATATGCCCCTTCCAGATAGATGTCATACAATTGTCTATATGAACTATCTAAAATAAAGCTGCTGTCAGAGTATTTTTATTGACCTTATTTATTTCTAGTTAAGAACCAGCTTAAACATAGAGATTAGAATTCAGATTAGCTCAGCTAATTAAGAGCAAAATATACATATACAATATGCCACTACTGGAAAATTATTTCTGAAGATACAAACCCCTCTACTCTTTTAGAAGTCAATAGTAAGAAATCAATGGCAATTTCACTGAGAAAATAATTTTAAGGCATTTTTCTCACAGTCATTATGTGTTACTGAATGAAGAGACTCATCATGTCTGTAAATCCTTTACACAAGTCAAATGAAAAGGTAATGAATAATCTATAAATTTGCAGCAAACAGAGCTTGCAGTTTACCACATAACATTTGACTTGCACTTTTCTGTAGGGGAAATTTCTCTCCTGCTTTATGCCACATAAATGTTCAAAACATAAAGGATTCTTTTGTCTCAAATAATCCATTAAAAAGTAATATTTGTTCCTAGCTGACACCAGCTTGGGCAGCTGTAGCTTTTTGGATGCCTCATCCATAGAGGTGGCAAGTGTACAAGTGTTCAGCCCACTGCTTGTTAAATCTAAGCTATCTCATGTGAGTGTGGCAGCTGGAGAACAACTGCTTTACATGGTCTAGTTGTGAATATTCTCCTTGCAAATCACAGAAGAAAGGGGTAATCTGAATAATTAAATCAATATTTTATCATGTTAAGCAATTCATTTTGGTTGGAGTTCTTCAATTAGAGATTTTTCTTTACCCCTAACTATACAGATTAAGCGTATATACTAGGAAGTGTTGGTCTATGAATATTTCAGACCTAACAGAAAACAGTTAAAACCACAAACAAATTGCATTGTAAATGCTTATTCATAAAAAGTTATGTTAATGAACTTAAAATAATAACAATGTTTTAAAAATTAATCTCAAAGAATAAAGACTTTGATGTGGGAGAGGCAAAGAAGACAAAAAAGACAGTGTCAAATACTCTGCCATGTTGCTTAAAATTATAACTCAAATAACCACAAGATTTAAATGTGAAACATGAATTCAGCATAAAAGCAAGCTGTGGCAGATTACTAGCAGAGGGTCATTATAACCCAAATCAACCTGAACTAAACAGGGCACCATGATGAATTATGTCTTGCCATACCTGGAATTGAAATTGTGCTGTTGTAGGAAATTTTGGTTTAGGATTACTCATGCAGCTGTTTTTGGTGTTCCCCAAAAACCTCCACGATCATTTTGTAATACCAAAGGCAACACTGCAGGGGAGCACCAGCACAATGAAAAGGTGAAGTAATCATTACAGAGGAAGCTGGTTCTTATTTACAGGCTAACTATTACAAACAGGTGATGTTCCTGAAGGGCAAACTGAGGCCAGACCCAAGCAAAATTTGGCACCTCGGGAACAGAAGTTTCTCAAACTAATGCAATATAATGTATTTTAAATGGATGAAAAATAAAAAGTTCTAAAAGTGTAATAAGAATATGAAAAATTGCAGCATAACAGAGGATCCCTGATATAGAGCACCACAGAAAATGAAACAAATATTTTTCTCTGTATTTAAATAGAAACAGGATTTCCATTTTTATTTTTTCTTCTAAATTGCAGGACTTTCCATTATATTATTAACAGAGGAGAATATTAAACGACATATATCTTCAAGAAATATTTCTAGGTGAGCAAGCTTCATTACCCTGCCCAAATATGCTAAACTAGCTGCTAAAAATGTTTTTGGAAAACTGGTTTTTATTTTTTTTTTTAATTGAATACCAGAAGACCAGAAGAACTGCAGCTGGAGAAACCTAATATAAATGTGAATTAAAATATTAATTGTCTATTACATTTTCAAAGTAGGCCAGTTAGTCTTGTCTAAGTCTAATGAAGGTGGCTCCAGTTCGGGTAACACAACCGTCAGGAAGTTCAGTAGCACCTTCAAGTGAAACACTGCAGCAAAAAGGGCCAATGTCATTCTCACATCTACCTACCTGGAGAAAAATGAGGAGGAACAAAATTAGAGCATTGATGGATGGGTTAAAGTCCTGCAACTCTGTGATATCCATGTTTGAAGAGATTTTGGCAAAACCTGGAAGGGTACTAAAAAGTTTTGAGGAATTCAGAGGGTATGAGAACAGATATTCTCAAACCACCAGAGAAAGACAAAGCGAGAGAGAAAACCTGACACGGACAAAATCATGTAAGAAATGAACCAGCATTTCAAACAAGGGTGATGACTATTGGAACAAACTTTCAAGTGATGTTGGCGTGGGATACACATGTCTTAGGAGTTCTGAGAGCATGGCCTGCTCAGATACAGGCTTTTGCTGCACAAAGGGCACAGAATTCAACACAGGGAAGCATGGGAATAGTGTAATGGCTGTTTATAGCATAATAAAAGAGGTTCAACAGAAAAGCTCCTTTCAGATTCAAAAAAATAATACCTATTAATCAACTTAAATGTTAATTTACTAGCAATTCCTTTACTGCTCATTTGAGCAGAAAGATTAAATTAAAATGCTTTTTGCAAACCTGAATCATATTTTATGCTATCTGAAAAGCTAAACAGACTAAGTTCTCTGTGCATCTATGTAAAGTGTTGGCTTTTCATACACCTACACAAATGTCTGGGTGACCAGGACACAAATCCGTACTGCATTTTAAAAAAATTATAAAAAATTAAAATTAATTTAATTTAATACAGACTGTGCAATGACTAGCTGCAATCATCACTCTTGTATCTAATACCTACCTTTATCTGTTTCTGCCCCTGGATGTGCCTCAGAGCTAGGATGAAGCAGTTAAACACAAGGACACAGGCACTGGATCATTAACTCTCCTTTTAGAATTGTCAGAGTAAAACCCTAATTCACATTAGTTTTATTCCAGTTAAACTATGACTTCTCCACTATTTAAGACCATAATTTTCACCTTTATTAGCACCAGTTTTACTCAGTAAATGTGTATGAAGTGTTGGTTCGGTTTTCTGGATTTTTTTGTGGGTTTATTTTTTTGGTTTTGCGGCTGTTTTTTTTTGTTTGTTTGTTTGGTTGGGGTTTTGGTTTTTTTTCGGGGTTTTTTTGGGGGTTTTTTTGTTGTTTTTTTTTTCGGTTGGGTTTTTTTTTCCCCCAGGAGAATAAACTACATTTTTCAATAACAAATACCATAATAAAAAATATCTATCAAGTAATACATATAAATAGAGTATATATATCTAGTATATTCACTGTTTATATACTACTGAATTCTGCAACAATTGTATGTTCTTCAGTCTCCTCTATCAAAAGAATATGGTCCCTGCTCTAAAGACTTTTTGATAGAACAGATGAAAGAGCTGTTGGATAGGATATAAAGTTTTATTTTAACATGGTAGGAAACCTCAGAGAAATTAGAGGTTCAATTCAGATGCCCTGTGGCATTGGACAAGCCCTAAGGCATCAAGGACATCCTCATGATGGCAGCAGACAGACAGACAGACAGACAGACACTCCTGTGTCCTTGTGGAGCCAAGCTGGGGTCAGGCAAGGGTAGTCTTGGGACCCACAGGTGATAAAAAGTGTTTTAATTGAGGTGGCTGAAGACTTTGAATCTATGTGCCATATAGTTGGAGAAGCCATGGTAGTCTCAGGAGTCATATTTCTGAATTCTCAGATCAGTCAGTGCCAAAAGCTGTCTTTGTTTGGGAGATTGACAGGTATTATTTTTCTTTCCTAATTTGT